GATTAACATTTCTTTAACAAATTATACAGACGATTGAGCTCAACTTTGGCTCAAATTTGTCTTAATTGCATGTAAGCTCATGTCGAGTCGAGTTTAAAAAATATAAACTTGGCAGTTGAACTCTACTAGAGCTTGAGATCAACCGGTAACAATTGATCAGAGCTTGAACATATTAAAGTTTAACAAACTTGATTTAATTAGCAATCCTATTCAAGAAGATAATGATCTAACCAAGACATTATTCATATTTAACTCATTTATCAAACAAGTTCTAAAATTAGTCTTGACTAGATTCATTATATAAGTAAATAGACTTAAATAAGTTTCAAAAATCCATAAACATCTCAATCCATTTATACAATAGACATAAGAAAGAGAAGAAGAGTTTTGAGGTAGGGAGAAATAAAAAAAAAATAATCTTTCAAATGATGTGGGAAAAATTAACTCTTTAAACGCATACAATTAAAATTTTTTTTACAGAACACTTCAAATATTGTAATTCTTATTACACCATCGGAAAACGAATCACATGACTTACTTGGAGGCAACACTTGCATTTTCCGGTGAAGATTTGGCCAGTGACGACGAACAGTTACTGAACACCAAAGCTCCGGAATTTTAATTGTCTTCTTCCTCTTTTTTTTGAGAGAAAAAATCACTGTTAATCTTATTTTTTTTTGTGGAGATTCTATACAAAATTTAATCCACTTTTAAAATTTTTGAAAAAGAAGGGTCATGATAATTATTGCACTCTTACTTACCTTTAGGGATGTCAAACGTGTCAGGTTAAACGGTTACGTGTCGAGTTAAACGGATGACGGGTGAAAAATATATAAACTCGAACACGACACGTGTCTTTGAACTATTATACTTTTTTTTTATTGATTTATTTACTTCTTTTTTTCTTGCTAATTTTTTAAAATAATTATTAATTTATTATTATATTAATTTTTTTTAAACGGATAAACGTGTGATAAACTGTTTGACAGGTTTCACCCAAACACGACCCGTTTATTAAACGTGTTTGGCGTGTCAACCCGTTTATCATCCAAACCCGCTTAATTCGTGTCGATTAATTGTGTAATATCGAATTTTAACAGCCCTACTTATCTTCCCATTGCCTTACTGTTGTCAAAGAAGACAGTTGACAAACAAATAGGTTTCATCCCTTTCTCTTTTATCGAATGACATTCTCATTTTAAAAAAAAATTCATTATCCATTCTTAATCAAAAAACAAAAAAAAACAAAATTGTAAAGGTTGTTTTGGTAACTGTTTTTGTCTTGTGTTTTGTGTTTTTGTTTTCAATTTTTGTTAAAAATGAAAACAAAAATATGTTTGGGCATTATTTTTTGTTTTTGTTTTTTATTAATAGTTTGAAAACAAAAACAAAAAAATAGAAACAAAAAAAAGATGTTCCAAGAAACACCAAAAACAAAAACAACACGCGCAAAAGCGTTAGGAATTAATGAGATCCGAACTTCGACTCCTCTTAATAGTAAAATAAGGCTTTTTTTGTTGAAATATAAAACACATTTCATCCCTCTCTCCTCCCATTGCTTCTCCCTCAGTCTCTCTCCTCTCTCCCTTCTCTCTCTGTATCTGTATCAGACAACCAGAAGAAACCCCATCGCTGCCTCTCTCCTCCCATTGCCACCTCTCTCCTCCCCTCTCTCTCTCCTCTGTAAAACTCAGAAGCTATGCATATATATATACACATATCTGTGCATAGAAGGTGAAGAAAAGGACGAAGTGATTGTCTTCGAGTCATCTTTGAATGAAAAGCAAGCCGGTGGGATTTTAGGTGGGCTTGATGGAGTTGGCATATAGGGTATAGTAGTGGTGTTAGGTGTAGGACCATTTTGGAGTCTTACAAAATGTGTAATTACAGTGGTCCGGCCATGACCTCCACTGTGAGGAAGAAGACCAGGTTACCGCTGGGAAGCAAAGCAATGAGCTAATCTTTGATTCCTTTTACTAAAAGGGGAATTTGAAATAGTTAGGATATCAAATATATTTAAGATAAAATTTGAAATAGTTATCAAATATATTTTTTATTTTTATTATCATAATTTAATAAATAAAAATGACTCTCAAATATATTTTTTGTTTTAGTGTTTACTATAAAATAAAGACAAAAATTATTTTTATTTTTAAATATTTTTAAAACATAAAAACAAAAAGTTAGCGGACGACGCATATATTTTGTCAACACGCGTGATCAGGGACCGTGGTAGTATTCGACAGCTTTGTGGCTCAGGGGCTGTGAGGTATGTGAGCCTGTCTGTGACTTTGGAAAAGTCAACCATGTGAGGTGAGAACAAAAAACCCAACAAAGGAAATTTTTTTTTACAATTTTTAATATTAGATGAAATTTAATAAATATAATTGTTTAATTCATTAAATTATGTTTAAATAACATTTTTTAATATTGAATGTCACATGTCATTAATATCACGTGTTATCACGGTTTAATAATAAAGTTACAAATGAATAAAGTGACTTAATTATGACAGTCATTCTTTTCTATTTCACATCCCAAATGTACTGTTCTTATAGAAAAAAAATGCACTTTCACATCTTCTAAATCAGATATAAAAGTTTATTTTTTTTAAGGTACTCCTGCGAATATATTCGGTGAGATCTATAACTCAAACGGTGTCACCACGTGACAACGATGTCAGAGAATCATAATTCTTTACGTGAGTAGTTATTTATAATATAAAATATGGTATATTTTAATAAGTCTATCAGTTGGTCTCAAATAAATTCATTCAACAACTACAAACATTCATTTCAAAATCATTTACATTGTATCATACATTCAGACATAAGTTATCCCTAATTATCTTACGCGTATAGGGTAATTATTAAATGATGAGTGATTAATCTTCCTCAGTTATAAACTTGTTAGTATTGTTATGTTGACTAAAATTTCTTATCAAATTTTTTAATCTTAAGTGATGTGATACAATTTTTACCATTAAATAAATAAATTTTATTAATATTTAATAATAAAAATCATGTCACATCAATTAAAATAAAAAATTTAATTAATATAATATTACTATAAATTTATTATTAAACGTTATCACCACGTGACCACGATGAAAAAGGTGTTCGGGTTAATATTGACCTCGGGGTAACAAATAAGCTCGTTGTACGCGTCACCATTTGACATAGGGCTAGGGGCGGGTGGACCAATAGTGGCCCTTCCCCGTTACTCGTCGGGATAGAAGATCCGTCCACGTATACCCTCAGGGACTTTACCGTCACCGTCAATCTATTATTTTTTTTTGTTTGATAATTAACACCACATTAATTAAATCCACAACTAATTAAGATACCTAATTAATTAATTAATTAAATTCCCCAGCAAAGGTACTTAAAACAGATCTAGCAAGGGTTATTTGACTACTTACATATTCGATTTTTGTGTATTTTATAGAAGTCAAAGCTCATAATTCTACGAGTTATGTTAATTTTAATAAGCGAGAATCTAGAATTTTGTGGAACCTCATTAAGCAGGTTTAAAGGTTCATCTTTAACAAATAACTCCAATTTAAAATTGGAATGAGATTTTCTTAGGCACTTTTTTCAATAGGTGATCATCTGTCATGAATTAAATTAAAATTTATTGTATATAAGTGAGTCGCGTACCTATACAATCTAGAGTGCAACTTGAGTAAACTAATCTGAACTTAACCCAAACTTTTGATATTTTACTACGAATTTTCAATCCTCGTGTTGGATTGAGTAACAAATTTTAATCTGATTTCAATTTGAGTGGTGTTGGGGTTTTTCGAATTCATCTTGAATCCAATATGAATTAGTATATTGATGTTCAACCTAAATAGAAGACAAATATGAGCCCATGTTATGTAATCTGAAAATTAAATCTATAATGAATTCAATTTCAATTCAAATCAAATTGAAAAATTGAACTAATACTCCGTTTGATATGATGAAAAAATAGAAGAATGGAAAGTTAGATAGATGAAAAGTTTGAGAGAAAAATAAAAAATCATGTTTGGTAAAAAAGGAAAATAGGAAGGATATAAAAGTAGATGAATTTACTTTTCTTTTAACTCACCAAAATCAATTCTTCCAAAATCGAAAGAAAAGTAGATGAAAAATTAATTATTTGTGTTGAGATGTATCTTATTTGTCTATATATTTTGTATACATTAATTTCATATAAAAATACAATGATAAACTGAGAAGCAGGTTCTTGGATAGCATCAAGAAAGGGGCACACTGTAATCGCCACACAAAAAATATCTGCAATGGGGTATCAGCAAACCATGGGACCAGCCTTCTTTACTGCTGCAACACTTACTGCCGGGATGTGCTCGGAGATCGGAATAACTGCGGGCATTGCGGACATAAGTGTCGGCTAGGACACCTTTGCTGTGGTGGAACTTGTACCAATGTGGCTTATGACCCTGCACATTGTGGTGAGTGTCATAAGACATGCTCACCTGGGCTCGAGTGTGAGTATGGTTCATGTGGCTATGCTTGAATGTAGTTTGTTAACAACTAGTTAGCTGTTTTCTGCAAAGTTGGGATTAATTTTTTTTGAATTTTCATTTAGGTTCTGCATACTTTTAATGTATATCCCAACTTTGCAAATAAGAGCTCATATATTTTCAAGCTACTCTCTTGTTTGGTTTGTTACGGGTTTAAGTTCCTTCCTTCGAATCAGTATCTATCTATGTCAGACTTCCATTCTCGGTTGCCCTCTCCTGTTTAATCCGTTCAATGGCGAGTCCAACAAACATTGTGCAATGTATACAGTTCTTTCTTTAATCTTGCGATGCAAAAACTGTTCTTGAATCCGTCAGCGGTTAGGGTTGCTCAAATGACAAGATTCCAATAGTTAATATCTCTGAATCTCAAGTTCTAGTGTCCTAAGAGATGTCACGGTTAACTCGACACACATGATTTGCAAATAAATTCTTATTTTTTCGAGTTTACAACCATGCACAAGTTTAAATAACGCATGATTGAGACAATGTTTGATTATCAAGAAAAGTATGCTGCTGATATTTGATGGGGAAAAGTTATAATTTACAAGACAATTCGTAGGTATCTCTTCACATCACATTCCAGTTAACTAGTAGCACTTCTATTCATTGGGTTTTTTGCAACTTACGCTCTAAACTAGTACAAAAGCCAACTTGGCTCCTATGAAGAAAAGAGTCTTCATTCACTTCAGAGGGAAAAGAAACAGGTAATGCAGGAGCAACCCGTGAAAATGGCCATACACGGTGCCTTGTGCCAACGTTTACAAATATCGAATGAGCTCGATCGCAAACTTCCCTCTCCTCGTTGAATTTATTTCTCCAATCTGAAACGATAGAAAAAAAGGGTTTCAGAATGCGTCGATGTAAGGGGATTTGAATTCACTTGGACAGTGCTTCCTCAGATCCATAACTCACCTGCAATCTTCCTTTACTGCTAACTGAGATGATGTCTCCAGCCTTGACGGTGGTATTATTTTTCGTCACAGTGGTCCAGTTGACGCGCACATCCCCATTACTTGTTGTATTTACAAAATAATTCAGTTGTCATGAATATTTAAACATCATCACGCCATCAATACACAAAGTGTTACGGTATAAGAGGAATTCATCTAATGTTTAGTTGTAATAAAAGAAAAAGAACTAAATGACACAGATGAAGAAAATAAATAAATCCAAGTTATCTCGAAAAGGTTGTGTAGGATTGTCACTTACAAAGAAATATATGGAACTTGACCATTAACTTCAAGAACCAAACTGGGAGATTACTAGTTAACCACTCTTTTAAGTGTTTGTTGGACAGTGAAAATATTTCAACCTCTAAATAACACATAATACCAATCTAAAAGAAGAAGCAGATATATAATATCCGTAAGCAAACATCTAAAACGTTGGGCATCACAATAGTATCGAAAATTACCATAATATGCCACAATATAGAAAAATAACTCGTATCTCCAAATTTAATGAGCATCAAATTTTCAAGGTGCCATTTATGGTAGGCATATATAATGTGACCCATACAGAGGACTGCGTTGGTCTAGTTGTGACATGGGTGAGGATTCCTCCAACTTCAAACATATACATTTTAAATGGCCAGTCCCCTTTAAAAAGTCAACCACATTTTGGTTATTTGTAACATAGACGTGGCTGCATCATTTGACCTATGTAAAGTAATCCCATTGAAGTTGAAAGCAGTGCTAAGAATAAGAATGCCACCCAAAGTCAAGGCTGTGAAAAAAAGAAAATTTTTTCCATTGATTAAAAGAAATGTTTGGCCCAACAGTGAGAATAATTGCACTAAAATACACATATATGTAGCACCAACCAAAGCATGATCTCAAATGCTTCATGGATAATAATGGAACGAAAGAACAATCGTCATGTATAAAACAAACCTTGTGGAGACTTACAATTTAGAAATTTGATGGCAGTTATAGATTGCGTTAGCAAAATCACTAGATGACTTCTATTTATAGACAACACCATACCTGATCAAATCAGCCAATTTAGTTCTAGAAATTTTAAATCCTGCACTGGCTATAGCATCAACCCTCAGTGATGATTCCACAGTTTTGAAAGACTTGGTCCTGCAAGGAGTAAGCAACTATGTGCAAACCATGACTGACACCAGATTGAAATTTTAAAGAGTTAAAAAATGATGTAATGAGAAAAAAATGATTTGGGACCTTGGTGGTTCATATTCAAGAGCAAGCAATGGTATCTTTTTGCAGGAGACTGGAACATTACCAACCTGGAGGAGAAAATTTGATCATGGAACAGTACTGCCAAATGGGAGTGAATGTGACAATTACCACTATCAAGTGATGTGGCTCATGTTGTCAGGTGGACTATTTAGTCGTACTAGAAATAACTATCACTTGCAGTGAAAATTTTTTGAGTTAATCAAATTTCAAAATCAGGCATACCCTTTCCCTGTAAGATTTTCTCAAAAATATAAATTTACATCATATCAATAATAATGTATTTTACCTCTTAAGCTCCTATAATATAGGAAACATAGGAAAGGGTGGCATTTCTACTGGGTTTTCATGCATGTAAGTTAGTAGCGAACTCAAGGAATAAATATACCAGGATGTAATTAATCATAAAATCTATTAAATAGATAGGGAGAAAATTACTCAAAATTCACGTTCCTGAGACCAAGGTTAAAGTACTTACATGAAATGTACACAAAATAAAGTAATTTTACCTTGTCCAATGATGTTGTGAGAAAGTCAACAAGCTCCGGAACAATAAGGACTTGAGCACCCTTTTCTCCCTGGAAAGCAACCGAATAAAAACCAAAAAAATTGTGTTCAGCTATTAGGAAATGTAAGGTCAAGAAAATGAAATCCAAGTGAACCTCTACATTCTTCCTGTTTGGTGATTTCGGCAAACTAAATAATTTGGAACCCAAATAACAGTAAAACAATCAACTCATTTTTTGTCTTTATGCAAGGAGAAACAATTAAATCAAATGTTGGAAGAGGGTATCCATCAGTCGGAACTCGGAACTCACTTGCCCTCGAGTAAATTATCAGTTCAAATGGAATTAAGATCTCCCACGCTGGCATTGCAAACTCATATATCTGCCACAGCAATCATATCCCAAGCCAACACAATTCAATATACGATAACTAGAAAAATGTAGATAGGTCATTCGAACAGTTTGGATAAAATTTATAGGCTTTAAAATCAGGGGAAGCTGCTATATGCATCTTGTGAAAAAAAAAAGGGGGGGAACCACTGCTCAGCTGTTAAGTTATTAAAGCGGTTTGTCTAGTAAACCCGTTGTCATAATCCATTTTTTGGTTTGTCTAGTAAACCTGTTGTCATTATCCATTTTTTGGATCTTCTCGAATAATTTAAGCAAACATGGGTGTTCAAACAAGAAGTAACAGAAAAAGGCCAGTTATCTACCAAACTGCAAGATTGGCAGGTTGGCAAGCTTATAGGTCCAACTGGCAGGTTGGTATCATTCGGATTACATATCATAAAGTTTCCTTTGAAGGACACTAATCTTGGGTTTCTACAATTATACATTAATTTTCAATTACATCAATGACATACCAGCACAACAATATCCCCCAGCTTCTCCCTAGCAATCCCTGTACCAAGAATTGAGCCAAGGAAGTCACCATGAGAACAGGGTTGAAACCCAAAGTTTCCTGTGATACTGGAAAGTGTAACCATTAACCAGTATAAACGATGGTCTCATTATTTTAGAAGTTATATATTACCAAAATTCGCATTGTGGAGATATAGTAGGATGTAAATGTACCTCATTGCTGCAACTATATCTAGCGCATCTGTCAGAACTTCTGAATGTCCAACAGAAAGGCGATGGCGCTCAGCCTATACTAAGCCAATGTTTAGATTATTATTAGTGCATGGCACGAAAACAAACATAATATCTAATTTCAGTTTAACCTGTGGGTATCCTCCCTGAGCAATTGCTTTGACATCAACTAATTTTGCCAATATTAGCATTGACTCCTTCAGTACAGGTGGAGTGATGAAGTCTGTATGGATAACTTCTCTTCTAAATGATGCCCGATTTGCCTGAGAAATGCACCCAAGGATCAATAACTGTTTTTTTCTTAATCATCAGATAAGTGGCTTCATATTCACCTAGAACAGCACATGAATTATAAAAGAAAGATATTCCTCACAAGGTATCATGGAGCAATAAATAGTACCCAAAATTTATCCATCAGTAATTTAATACCTTTTCGACAATTTGCTTGACAGCTTCAGTGATACTCTTGTCTCCAACTCCTTTGAGTGAAACATCAACTTCACCTTTGACAGCTTGTGCCAAGTGACACATACCTAAACCTGTGTCGCATGAGCAAAGATACATCATCAGCAAACGTAGAAGAGTTTCCACGCTGGTGTCACCAGTATTGTAGTGACTGAACAGGAGTATAACCATTATTACCGCATTAGAAGATCAAAGCTCTGATATGTAGATGATTCCTAAACTCCTTGCTAGAGGATTAGAAAGAGAATGTCTGTTAATGCTTAACCATGAGTCCATGACATTGATATTGGGGTTGCTGATGATTAACACTACCATCTTAAATTGTTTCACAAGAATCAATGCAGGCTTTAAGCTACCCTTTCACATGAGGTGGGAAAGAGGCCCAAACAAAATGGGCAGTATCTAAACCTATCAGTGGTTAAAGTTTCCAACAATCAACACTTTCTCATATCCAAATATGAAGAGTACGAGCACGTTCTCTGTCACCCCCCACGACCCTCATACTGGGAACGTTTAACGAATCTCATTATGTGTAATTGCATCCTAGTAGCGTCTCATATGTTTCACGAAACATATATTGCATAGTTTTCTAGTACATAACAAAATCAATCCAAATACGTTGTCAAGGTACAAAATTTACTATTGATACAGCATAAGAACAGTTTGAATAAAGTGAAATGAACTCGAAGCCATTCAAAAGAAAAAGAATGACCCAAAAACAATTAATTATTTATATATACCTGAAGAGCTCAGAAGCTTCGGAAGAGGAAAAGATTGAAGGGTTGAACAGTGAGAGAGATTGTTGTTGCTGATGAAGCGAGGAACTACGAATGCTTGAACTGCTCTTCTTAGAACAGTCTGGGAGGCCAAGCTCGTGGCAGCCATGGCCCGTAAGCGTAATGCGCACCTCTGTTCAGAAACGGCTCAGATTTACATACTTGCGCCACCAAAGTCGATGGAGCCCCGATAACAATGTATTTTCTTGTTTTTTTTTTTTTCTCAATTGGGTCGGTTTACTCACGTTTCGATTAATTTTTTATTACCACTTAAACTAATACATTAGAGTTAATTGCGATGTATTTTCATTGTTCAATGCTCTACTCCTAGGGGTACAACTTGGGTGAGCCAACCAAAATTCAACCTAAATCTAACTAGAAAAAACAGGGTTTGAATTAAAATTTTTAATACTTGAGTTAAACTTAGGCAAAAAAATTTCAACCCGAATTGAATTTGGACAAGCCTCAGATTAAGGCATCGAGTTGTTGGGTTCAACTCGAATATTAAAATTGGGTTGAACCAGATTATTAAATCGAGTTGAACCCAAATATATATAAATATATAAATATATTTGACTAAGATTAATATTTATTTTCACTCTTTAGAGTCCAAACTTTCACTTTATTTCAAGTCTTCACTTCTGCGTCTCCATCACTCTCAGATTTCTCTCTTACACGTCATTCTTCCCTCTCTTAGCCTCCCTCTCTCAATCAGCACTCGTCTGAGTCATCTCAGACTCTCAACCTCCTTCTCTCATTCGTCACTCCTATCTCTCTCACTTTCTCTCTCATTGTCTGCGTCTCGCCCTTCATTTTAGATTAGTTAAAAAAATATCAAATTTACACTTGAAAAGATCAATTCTACACTTCAAAAAATCAACTCGAACTAAGTAACTCAAGTTCAACTCGATTTTTAACCCAAAATCAGCCTGAATTAAATAACTCAAATTTAACCCAAGTTCGATTGAATTAAACTTGGACAGTACTCAAGTTAAAGTAGGGTTGGGGTTAAGATTAGGATTAAAGATTATATACCTAAAGTTATACTAGAATTGATCTCTCAACTTACCCAACCCGCCCGAGTTGCACCCCTATCCACACCATTCATATTTAAGCAGCTCTTTTTCCCCACCCAAGTAGATAATCAAATTTTCAAGTGTGCTACTACATCCTTGTTTTAGTCTTGGCTTCAAACCAAAGCCTTGTCAAAACCATCAATAAAGGACTTAAAGTAAGATAAATGCACAAGTCATCCTAAAACAAGAAAGACCTTTTTTTTTTTCCTGGTAAGAAAGACCATTAAGAGCACGATACTCTTATTATTACAAAGTTCAACACATTGAGTCTTATTCCGCACATGAATAGATTGTTTTTATGACTCACATCAAGACATTTTCATTTTGCACTAAGATCTATTCTTATGATTCTTTGAAAGTCTCTAAAAATGATTTGTCACTCCTAATGGATTCCCATACAATTATTAATCTCCGGGAAGTAAGTACCTTACGAGTAACTATCCAAGCAGACCCAATTTTCTACATCTTGTGGGTATTTTTCAAATAAAATACATACAATCCAACTCAAATCAACTATCAACCCTCTTTCACATTATATATGTTATTTAATGGATAAAAAAGATCCGACAAATGTACGAGACCTTCATCATTGTTGTTTTATGAATGAAGACTAAGGCCAACCCTCACATGTTTCGTGAATGTAGGAGAATGATCTCCCTCGAAGTAGAGTAAATATTGAATGCAACGGTAATACTATGTCACCATTGATGACATATTGTCACTAACTAATAATAAAATTCCAAATGGGGAAGGTGAATCCCACTTGTACTTACATGGTAGAAGAGTGAAGAGTTATTTAATTTCATGACAAATTAATTATTGATTTTTTTGGGGTCCATCTGCTTATTTATTTTAATATTATTAGTTGATGATACCACATCACCTTGCCACGTGGTATCACCGTTGTAATGAATATTTTCTCCTTGGAGCATCCATTGAAACACGTGGCCTATCGATAAATTATTTATTTAACTTTTTAATATTTCAAAATTTATCATGATTTTATCTATTCATCTTTAAAAAAAGAGTTTTGCATCTCTCCGAGGCCAGGGAACAAATAGGCATGGGAAAGTGAGAGGGGGGGCTACAAGCCCTCTCCCGTTGTTGTTCTCAAACAACCCATCCCTTTCTTCCCCTTCATCTGGACCAATGTTAAGGTGGTCATTTAACGAATGACTATAGCCTACGATCAAAATATACCATTAATCATCTAAGTACGGGTGGAATAGCTTAGTGTGGAAGGTGTAGAACGTGACAGGCACACTGGTGAGTCAAAAAGGCATAACCAAATTCTCAAAGACCCCTTTATTAGTTAGGTTGTTTATTTGTCACACAGGTCGTATTTAGCCCGTCTCCTTCTGCAATACGTACCTGATAATAGCTCGACCGTAAATTCAACTTTAAAAAATATCTCACGTTTATTGATTAAGATAAAGAAGTCTGCAATCAAAGTGATCTTGATAATTAAGTTACCTTGTTAAGCACCTAATAATCAATGCATCAGGCCCCCGCTTTTTCCACAATAAAATAGGGGCACCACAACCTTTTCCCCCGTAAGATGGGGAAAAACTTTTGTTTTCCAGATAAACCTGTTTCCCATGCACCTAGCATTCAAACTCAGTTCACGTAGGAATCAAAAATACCACAAAGAGCAAAGGCTTTAATAACAATCGAAGTCAAAATTTCAAATTACATAACCAAAACAAACGATTTATTGTTTTGCCCGCGGTAAATATTTCAGACTGCCTATCTACCAACAACATTATGAATTTTAGTCCCTCGGTTCATAGGAAGTAAAAGAACAGACATAACTTATGTTTACTAATACAGACCTAGCCACTGCATAATCATGAACAAGGAAAATTGGCTAATAACCTCTTTGACTCGACTCTTGTTTTGTATCTTTCATAGAAGATACTTGTATCCGATAGCAAGAAGGATCATGACTATCACAGCAGCAGGAGCAGCCCATAACCAATAGTTTGTTGCCTTTTTACGCTTGATTATGACCTTTGGAAGTGAATCTGGGCCTTTTGTGCGACCCCTATACCTGACGGTATTGTCCTTACGATCCTTGATCTTTGATGGAACTGGAGTTCGAGGCTCAATGTTTTCGTCTGCTTTCTCTGGTTCAGCAGCCTCTACTGCTGCTTCAGTTGGTTCCTCCGAATCAGCAGGAGGTGCAGAAGCTCCAGCCTTCTTCTTTGCTCTCTTCTCACGATCCTGTAAGTTGAAAGCACAATTTTTAAGCATAAAGCAGGCATTAAACTGCTACTCAAGAAAATCACGAAAAAGAAAGAAATCAAATAACAATTTCCTTAAGCTTCTTCTCAGCTTCCTTCTGAGCCTTTATAGCTGCTTTGGCGGCTGCTTTCTCTGCCAACTTCTTCTTCCTTTCCAAGGCCTGCTTGGCCTTGGCCATCTCTTCCTCTCTCTTCATCTCCTTCAACTTCGCCTCATCAATTTCATTGTTCTTGGAAGGAGGATCCTTTTGCAGCTTTTCTATACCAGGGACTCCCTCTTTGTCTTCCGAGTCATTTTGCTTCAAAGTACTTTCTGTTGGTTTGTTATTTGCGTCTTTCTGGTGTTTACTGTTTTTCTCTTTCTGGGCTTTTTGGATGGGGGGAGTAGTGTGTTGCGGAGGGGAAATGGAATCTTCCTTTAGTGGTTTTGCTTTGGTTTTTGCCAGTGTCTCAGTTTCAGAGGAACTTGGTGCCTCTGGTAACATTAGTGGCTTCTCATCTGGGTTCCTCATCCGTCCATCCCTACTCAATAGGCGCATGTCCAGTGATTGCAAAATTCTTTTCTCGTAATCATTCCTATGCCCATTACTGCTGTTCCAGTGAGACATGAATGTCTCAACCTACACAAAAAGAAGATGAAATTTATGTCATATGGCAAAATCATTGCAATAGCAGAATTGTTGATGTTAGAATGACAACTGATCCGACAAACCTCAGTATCAGAAAGGTTATTAACGGCTTCAATATCCTTCTTTGCAGCAAGCTCTCTGGCCTTGATCAAGAGCGAACGGTTTTGGTAAAAGCTAGTATTCTGGGAAAAGCTAAGATATTAGTCATAATCTGTCATAAAACATTTAGGTTTAGAATTCTACTCACTCGACCATAGCATGCCTGCAAATATAAGGAAAAACATAGGTATTTTCCAAAATTCCCAGGGTGCAAGCAGATGACAAATTACACAAATGAACACAAAAAATAGTGTCTGGTAAAAAGACAACAATGGTTGCTGCCTGGTGTTCCATAATTCAATTAAAATTTTCTTCTTGATATGCTCCAAGTAGAAAATAAGACGTGGCTTGGACAAAGTCATCTGACAACTCATATTTTTCTCCACACAACTTACAATGCAACAGGAGGGTTTATTTTCCTCCAACATTTTATTCTTTTATTTTAATTGTTGATGCATCCAAACAGATGAATTTCCAAAAATTAAAGATGATTTGGATATTTTAAGTCTTTCAAGTTTCTTTATCAAAAATTTTGAAAACAGTTTGACAAACTCCTTAAGCGTGTTTAAATTTGTCAAAGAAATAACACCCAACAATTTGTGGCTCACATGCCATATTTTGTGTCTAAATAATTTTTAGAAGTCTTATATATGGTTTGTATTGAATGTTCTAGCAAACAAAAATTATAAAGTTCAGAGATCTTTCTATTTTTCCTTTTTTTATCCTATATAATATTCTTAGGTAACCTTGTAACATCCAAGGCTTGAATAGCTGATCTCAACTATAACTAACCTTATTCAACCCTATCTACTGCCTGTTGCAAGGAAAACCCATACAAAATTGCTGCCCTGAACTACCAGCACATCTTTTTCTAAAATTCCTAAGACCTAACCCTTTTGCACCAAGTAAATTCCAGTCTATCCACCTGTAAAAAGCCAGCAACCTTGCTCTAAAACTTTGAAACCCTTATCCCACAAGCTTTTCACATCAGACCACCATAAGATCAGTGGTAGGAACCATTATTCTGAGAGTGCTAGACCTACCGTCCATCACAGGCGGCCAGTTATACAGCAGGGATCAGTATACTGATAAATAGTTCATACATAAAAGGATAACCAGTAAACAAAATGACCACAATCCTTCAGTAAAACCACCAAACAGACCCAAATAAACTTCTTAAATGGCAGTTTTCCAATATTGATAATCATTCTGTAAACACTACCCTACTTACAGCCGCATGGCCATAGATCCACCATGCTCTTTCGCCCACGTTGACGAATCTACCAGACATCTATAATCACTCTGTAAGCACCACTTTATCCTCTCTTTTTTTCTGATAGGAAACAAAAACTCCCATTACATAAAGTAGAAGGTATAATGCAAGGGAGAGGAAGTCCACTCCATGGAAAAAAGTTCAATAAAAGAAAAAACCTATAAACAATTCCACCATGTGCCTTCACCTGCTTGATACTTTGACGGAGCAGTCTACTCGTTTAAATCATCTATGTTCTTATTTTCATGCCTCAAACACAGAATAGAGAAAAGAAACTAAAGTATTCAAGCTTCAAAATAATACAAAGATAATTTCTAGTCATAAACAATGAGAACCATCTATTTCTATTTCTGATGACACCAAAAAAAAAAAAGTCAAAAAGTCAAAAAAGAAAAGAAAATGCAGAGTATTATGAGCTGCCTTCCCTGACTAAGCATTTGTGTTCTAGCTATTTCCAGTTTGGTAAAAAAATATAAATGTGATATTCACCTAGAAATTCAAATAACAGGCATAATTCACTATAGAATCATAATCCAATAATGAAAACAAAGCCCCAATCCTTCTAAAATTAAGAAGTCGAGAGGTTTAACTTAAAAGTCAAAAAGAAATCAACATACCCCTTCTTCACGTTGCTTTCTCAATTCCTGAATATTTTCAAAAGTTTGGTCCCTTTTTTGCGTCACAATCTTCAATTCCTCCTCTAAAGAATTGATCTCTTTCTCTATGGTCTCTTTCTCTTCTTCGAGTTGCTTAACCTTGGCTTTAATTACTTGATGATCTTTTCGAACTCCATCCAAATCAACACCTATAAGCTACAATGACATAAGAATTAGCACACTCTTACTAGATATGATACCTGAAGGTAATGAAAGATGGTATCAATAATAGAAAATTTACAACACTTAATGGTAAAATTAGTAAGGTAACACCCACAAAAGAATACAAGATCTACATGTATCCAAAAGTGTCTTACTTTGACCTGGTCTTGAATGGCTTCTTTTTCACCCAAAGAATCCTGGATCTTTGCCCTCATAGCAGCATTAGCAATGACTTTTTCCCTAGTCCCCTCAAGCTGTTTAATTTCTCTAAGGATTTGTTTCTCCTCATTCAGGGGAATGCTTTCGTGTTGAATGCGGTATTGCCAGCTTTTAATCTGAATTCAGATTTGCCAAGATAAAAAGAAAAGATTAACACAGTACCACGGATTGCTAAAGCTTAATGTTTATCGACAACTCACTGATAAATAATAAATTCACAATACAAATGGTAGTGATTCACAAGAGCAAAAACCATCAACCTGCGTAGGAAAAGCTCCATAATATTGTAGTGAGCTAGGGTTTAAGATTGCATAGCTATTGGATGGTTGGACCAGAGTGACCAAATTTGGAAGCCTAAGCCGAAGGCTAAGAGTTATTGGTCCAAAGGAGATGCACCTGGTAGATTTGTTGGGATTTATTTGTTCTATTTTTTTTTATTATTTGAATTTTTGGTTAGATAGAATTTTTAGGAAAGTAGTTTATTTATGGTAGGATACTTGGTCTATAAATAAGAATGTATTTCATATTATTTTAATAAGAGTTGAATTTTGATTTGAGAATTCTATGTGGAGAAATTGTGCTTCTTGACCCAATCCTTGTGAGGATTCGACACCTCACTTCTTCCATTCCCTCCCTATATCAGTTTTATCCAAATGTCTTCTACACCAAGGGCCTGTTCAGATTTTATTTTTTTTGGGTTGGGGGGGGGGGGTGGAATTGGATTGCATATATGAAACCTTCTCAAACCCAACCCCAAGGATTTGACATGAGATTCAAACCAAAATCCTATCCAATTCCATATTTAGCAAGTGACATAAACACATGTAGGGTCCATGGATTCATGTTAAATCATATTATTCAATTTACTAAAATGTCCATTATTAGGTGAATAGAAAAATAAAATTTTGGGTAAAATAGTATTTTTCTCTACAAATCTGATCTCACATTTTTGAAACCCCCCGCCCCCCCAAATAGGTTTCATCAAACCCTCATTTGTGAGTTTTAATACACTACTCATTGCTGGCCGGGATTCATTTGCCATATAAATCCTGAATCTCAAATCTTGAACCAAACATGGGTTTAGAAGGTACATTGGACTATTTTCATAAAACCCACCCTTTAAAATCCATCCAAACCAACATACCAAGCATGCCCCAAATGACAACAGGAAAAAAAACCAAAAACCATTATGCAATGCACCATTACTCAAAATTGTTAGAACATCCAATCCAAAACCAATTGGCAATAGGTGTAGTAGCCCCTCATGTATATAAACCAACCTTGTTGATCCTAATTATTCAATGTGGGATACAAACTCTCTTAGTACCCTCCCTCATGTGGGATTTGAGCTGACACGTGGGGTCAACCAACAAACAAACAACCATGCATATCAGAAAATTCAAATGGGTAAGAGACTTGACCCACTGTCATGTTAAAAAACTCAACCCAAAACCAATTGGCAATGGGTGGATTAGCCCCTCAAGTATGTTAACCACATTTAGTAGTCCTAATTATTTGAATTGAGATACAATCTCCCTTAACAAAAACAAGAGGCAATAACTCATCTACAACACAAACATGGGGCAATGAATTCCAATACTCCAAGAAAACCTAAAAAGAGAACTTACAAGATCATCAAGCTCTTCCTCAGATGAACATACACTAACACCTCTCTCTCTGCCCACATTGTTATTACCACGCAACTTGCCCAAAGCCTGCTGCAAAGGTTCCATTTCTTTTCGCTTCTCATCCATGATCATCCTAAACTGCTTGTTCTCAACACCTAGAGACTTTAATTGAGCAATCACCTGTGCTCGATCGGCCTGCGCAAAATATACACAGAAATCATAGTTGACTCAGTGTCCTTTGATTCACTCTCTTACAATCTTGTTAAGTTCTAGAATCCATTTAATTAATTCACGCGAAATTGTGATCAAATTAAACGATAATATGACAAAGATAGAATAAAAGTAAACTCATGACTGCAAAATGATATATATACCTAATGTGAACAAAACACAGAAATGTAGTGTTTTCTATATAGCAATTTGCTAATCCTTAATATCCAATCTCCAGTCAATACACTTGCAGAAATATTTACAAACAGTACTATACAGAAGATGTATGTCATATATCACATAACAGACAGGTAACACAATCCTAAATATAAGAAATCATTCGCAACACAGCCAAAATGTTGACTTTGTCACAATCTGTATCATCATCATCTCTTTCAACCTCTGCTTATATCTAGGTGTCTCTAGGCATGTTTAATCTTTAAAAGATGTAGAATCTTGTTAATCAAATATACTATGACTATCAATATTAATATGATAAAGATACAATGAGATTAAACTCATCACTGCAACACGCTATCTTATTCTTGATATTTCAAGTAAACATAACACAGATGTAGAATTTTCGAAACACAATTCATTCATGTTGAACATCCAATATCTAGTCTGCATACCTTGTAGAAATATTTACAAGTAATCTACCAAAGCATGAGGACTCATGGCTGCCAATCATGCAACATGTTTGTTTTAATCCTTCACTGCATTTTGTCCAATAATTTTCTCTGATCATATTCCCTTTAGATCATGGATGTTCAAAGCTCTATTTATCGATCAACAAAGTACCATTATCAAAAATGTCAAAATTTCATCTTAAAACCATATACATGATACTTTCTGAGAAATAAAAATAGGACCATTCACAAAATCCATGCAAATGTTTTCATAATGGGATGTGGTAGGATTTTTAACTTTAGAAAACATTAACCAAGCCAATTTATTAAAAAAATAATAATTTTGTCTCTCTCCACCTCTCACAGCGTGGCAATTTCACAAATAGGAGGATGGCCCTTTAAGGGTTACATGAAATTTGTTGATCTATAAGCTGTGCAAGAACACAAGGATCCAACAAACAAAAAAAACTAAAAGGTAAAGAGAATTATAAAGTCATGCATAGTCTGCCTGTCACTAACATCAATGAAGAATAATTATAAGGCAGCCATCAAAAGAATCAACAATTATATGTCCTTTAGCATTACCCTTTTTGCCCTCAATTTTTCAGTTATCTGATATCGGGCTTGATTCTTCTTCTGAAGCTCTTTGTCAGCCTGATCCAATCTGGATTTCAGTTTCTGGTCGTCATATGATCGATACTTGACCAAATAAAAAGAATGGATTCTCTTCGGTGCTGGCCATTCATCAACAGCATCCTTCGGGAAGTTGGCCTCAGGAACATTATTTGCGTCTCCTTTAACTGGTTCCTCCATACCATGGGAGCCAAATTTAATGGGCTCATTAAGCACTCCCTGACTCATTTTCCCTATTTCCTTCTCATGCAACAAGGCTGTGTTTTCCTCACTTCCATCTTCAACAGAAACATGAGCCACCTCAGATTTTACCACCTCCACACCCATGATTACCAGATAATGTTACACAGAAAGAGCCTTCTAAAATACCTAACCCTGATATTAAGCAAAGAAAAAATCAGGTACACAAGTAAACAAGGAAAAAGAAGCCATCTTGAATGAAGAAATTGTGCATATATAACGACAGTAGAGCCCATTGGAGAAAATCCACCCCAATCCGACTAATTTTTGGAACTTCTCTAACAAAAAAGTCTCTTGCAATGGACCTTCAACATACCATCAGATACCCATAAAGTGTCAAATGATTATTCACAATCCAGACCCATTTCTATCAACAATCTGGACTCAATTTTATTTTCTAAGTTACGTGATTGATCAAAATGATCTGACCATGGGCTTCACACTAGACTAAATTGCATAACAAAGTTACAATGTTCAATATTTCTCAAATTCGACATATAGATCTTTCAATCCAAAAGGCCAAAAAAATCAATTTACAAAAAAAATTCTCCTATAATACGCACCCTAGTTGAAACACCGAAAGATTCAGAGGTCTTATTCAGAAAACAAAAAGAAACCCAGAAACAAGCTCATCAAACGGTCCAATGATCATAACAACAAACCTTCACAGAATCACAAGAATGCAGGTACATAAATAGACAGGAACAAGGGTACAAAACATCAAATTGAAAAACGAAAATTTTTCATGCTAATAGAAATAATACTTAATCATGTAAATGGATTACGTCGCTATCCCAATTAGAAAACAAACTTTACCTAATCTCAAACAACCCATAAAAAAAATCAAATCTTTCTACAAAACGATCAATAATTCAACATACATGTAAACAATAAAAGAAACTAAAACAAACTAGTAAAACAGATCAGATCATACTACAAAACAACCGAGAATTCAACACACAACATATAGGTAACTGAAAGCAACCCATCAAAAAAGATCGAATCTTTCATTTGAAAACAATCTGTAGGGGTCAAATTTCCCATCAGTAAACGAAATGAACTACCTAGAAGGATCGAGATCGGTGTGGATCGAAAAAAAAATGATAGAAAACCAAGTGCAAAAAGGAAGAAAAAAAATCGGTGGTAGTGTGAAATGAAATGAGAGAGAAATGTAGGTGGGGATTAAAAGAGGCAAAAATGGCGGAGAATTACCCGGAATGAAAAAAACAAAGGCAAAGACTTTCAAGAGAAGACCCTTTTCACAGAGCCGTCCGAGTCGAAGAGAAGCGATCAAATATAGTCAAACCACTCCCCAGATCTCCCTCTTCCGGCCTCTTTATTAGAGAGAGAAATATCTGGAGTTTACAGGTTTAGATATGTATAGAGACGATACGAGAGAGAGAGAGAGAGAGAGGTGTGTTTTTTTTTTACGTTAAACAGAAATTTTCGCTTCATTTTCTAGTATTTTCCGCGAGCCGTAAATGAGGGAGTTTCGGTCTTTTTTGTTCGCGGTTTTTAATTTGGTAAAGTTTTTAATTAGATTTTGACCATTAGTAAGGTTTAAATTAAATATTAGGGTTAATTATACAGAAGGTCCTTAAAGTATAGTGTTTATCTCATTTTGGACTTCAAAAATAATTTAATAATTATAACTATTTATTTCACTGTAGGTCTCAACATTTATTAAAACCCACTATTAGCTATTCAATGGTTGAAATTTATCAAATCTAATGGTTAAATGCATCTGACATTACTCATACTTTAATTTCATTATTTTGATCCTTAAAGTATTGAATATATTTCTATATGATTTCTCAAGCAGACTGTCCAGATTGATAACGATTTTTTATCATAAACTTGTCACAATAATACTTAAATATGGACAAAAAAATAATTTAGATAACTTTTAACCAAATTTATACTCAAATTTTGATTAAATAGTTACCAAATTACACAGTATTAATCATAAGCTATTCCAATTTTGGTCAAAAACTACCTAAATTACACATTTTTTTCAAGAGTTACTCAAATTTTATTTAAAAATTATTGAAATTATTTTTTGTCGATATTTAGGTATTACGTGACAAGTTTATGATCAAAAATCGTTAATAATCTGAAAGATATTTGCTTGAATGACCATATAGAAACATATTCAATTTTTCAAGGACTAAAAATGATACAATTGAAATATTAGAGACAAAAATAAGACAAATTTCATATTTTAGAGACCTCAAGGACAATTCACTAACTTTACAATTTTATTTTATTTTATTTTCATTTTATTCCTCACACATCCCGAAAAGTAGAGAAATATATATGCCAATAAATTTTTTTTTTTTATACGTAGTTGGGTAACTTGTATATAACCCCCTCAATCGTGTTGATCAAGTGAGATCATATAGGATCTTAAATGGATTTATATTAAAAAGTGATTCACTCATATTTAATTTATTTATTAAATTTTTGCCTAATAAATTGTGTTATATCGAATTCGTATCATGTATGTATCGTAATCGATATATAAATAAATTATATTATAAATTTTTTTGATTGATTTCACTCATATTTCATTCGTGTATTAAGTCAACGTTGTGTCATGTTATATCGTACTGTCACACCCTAATTAACTTGGGTGCAAATGGCCGGTCTTGGTGGCACTTTGCACCAAAACATGCCATAAGTTGGAATTAAGGTGACACGACTAAGTGGTTTGACAGATTGGGGCGAACCAAGGCAACATGAGACCACCCCGGTTGAGCATGGCAGCACGTGGTGGACTCAATTGAAACAATGTGGGTTGCATAGTTTTAGGATTGCATGACATGGTTTGAACCCAACATGCACATTGGTTCATGAAGCAAGCCTGACTACTAAATGTGGGCACATGAGTGGCACATGGCTGCTCAATGCACATGACTGGCACATGGCAGTAGAGTTCGAAGTGGGTGACAAAGTGATGTTGAAATTGACCCCACCAATTTGGAACAAAATCTCTCGAAAGTCTGCACACAAGGGACTAATCCAGCGCTATGACGACCTTTTTCTTATAACAATGAGGATTGACAGGTTGGCCTATAGGTTGGATCTTTCCAATTGTCTCAAGCTTCATCCAGTTTTTCATGTTGCCTTTTTGAAGCCTTATATTGAGAACCCGGAGGACCCTAACAGATACGTTCGGCGTCGGGCTCCTCTAACAATCAGGAAGCAATTCACAGAAATAGCTGAAGCTATCATTGACCACAAGACTGAGGGAATGAGTAAGAAAAACAGAAAAACAAAAAAACTCATTACCTAGTCAAGTGGAAAGGGAAAGCACCGGAGGAAGCCACTTGGGAGAAAGAGACGACATTGTGGCAGTTCGAGAATCTTATCAAGCAATACCATGCCTCCATTTCAACGAGGTCGTTGGATACTTCAGGTGGGGTTGACTTGTCACACCCTAACTGACTTGAGTGCAAATGGCCGGTCTGGGTGGTACCTTGCACCAAGGCATGCCATAAGTTGGAATCAAGGTGACGCGGCTAAGTGGTTCGACAGATTGGGGCGAACTAAGGCAGCATGAGACCACCCAGTTGAGCTTGACAGCACGTGGTGGGCTCAATTGAAGCAATGTGGGTGACTAGCTTCAGGATTACATGGCATGGGTTGAACCCAGCATGCACATTGGTTCATGAAAGCAAGCCTGACTGCTGAATGTGGGCACATGATTGACACATGGTTGCTTAATGCATGTGACCAGGAGGATGTGGGCAGTTGCAGATGCTGAGACACAGTCAAGACAGTTTTTGAGGCAGTTATGGGCGTCCCTAGTCTGAATCTAGTCTAGATGCATCCTGATGAAGGACAGTTCCACATCAATTACTAAAAGGGGTGGAACTGTCTGTCAGGTGTTGCACAGAGACCAAGCCTGCTTGCCAAGTATGCTATGGAATAGCAAAAACGTGTATAACTACCCCTTGACAGATGGGGGTGTCATCTACCTTACTTTTGTATAAATAGGGGTGCTTGAGCATTCTGATGGGAGAAAAGTGTTCTGACTTTGAGAGTTTTTTGTAAATTATTGAGTTCAATATATAAAGTTTGAGAGTTTTGTCCCCGTAACTTTGTGTGTGCCTTCTATGTGAGTTTTTATCTCTTATTCTTGAGTTTGTGTGTGGCTAGTTGCAATAACAACGCCTTCATAGATAACCTCAAAAAAAAAATGAAAGTTACCCGTGACACGTATCATATAAGATTGTTTACGAAATAGATGAATTAACAAACAGGCAAACTGTCTAATTTTTGTGTTGTATTCATATAATGTTAGGAAATGTGAATCGCATAAAACGACGCAGTTTAATGGGATGCACAGACAGTGGCTGTAGTTGTTTGTTGGTTAGCGTATCTGTTTGGAAACACGTGTTTGGGATGAATCAATTGCTTCTTTCGTTTCGGCACGTCAGCTCGATGATTACGAGAAGAAAACAATGTCTCTGCTGAAAGTACAAAAATACCCTTTGGTGGCTAAATCGAGTTTGATAAACAGACAGATTATTCCACTTACGACATCAGGTAACAATTTGAACTGCAGATTTAAAAAAGCACAATAATAATTGGAATTAATTTAATATTTATTTAATTTTTCTATACAATTTTCAATATCAGATAGCCGAACAACATACACTCTCTAATGCCAAATAATTTCATTAACATTACCTCGTACACATATCTCTCTCTTCTTTCTTCCTTTCCTCTTTTCTTATTTTTTCTATATTCACTCTAACGTTAAATTAGACTATTAAAAAAATATTATTTAAATTATAAACGTCATAAAAGCAATACTTACTTTTTAGTATAATAGAGTTCCTTCCCATAAAAATTTGACACGTGTAAAGATTGTGTTGTTTTATTATTTTACTTTTAAGTTATCATTTTCACAAATTAATGGTCATGGATAAATTAAAGGAACATCGGGTCCTTTACTATTTGGAGGTATGACACCCTGTTTATTTATTTATTTATTTATTTTTGTACTGTTGAAGTTTGGTTCAAACTCTCTAAATGATTTATTCCTTATTTATTTGATATTACTTTATAATTAAAATTTTAATGAGTTTTGACCTGTAAAATATTCTAGTTAGTTTGGTGTAATTTAATTAAAGTTATAATAGGATTAGTTTGATTTGGTTTTAAAAGACTTGTTGCAAGCCTTTCTTCTTTATTTGGGAAATCTTGGACAGTAGTAACGTTTTTGATATAGAAGGATAAGATTTGCTTTTGGTTTTTTGATTTCTTATTTTATTTTCTTGGGCTTTGATTAAACCCTTGTGTGTGAGATTATTTTGAGTGCTAGAAATTATTTTTGAGATCCTACACTTATCATAATATTATCCAACTTAAATATAATATTTATATAATAAAACAGTTAGGTGTTTGAAATTTTATTTCATACATATTTTTTTTCCAAAAACTATCTTATCACATATTTCTATTACATGTTTAATCATTTACTATTTGATTAATTTATAGTTTAACATAATTTTTATTTTAAACATTATTCATATACGATAATATACATATTGAGAAAATTTATCGAATTACGTATTTTTATCGATATTTTTTAAACAATAATAAGTAAAATTAAATATTAAATGATGTAATCAAATAAATAAAGGAAATAAAAATTATCATTTAATATAATGAGATCAATTTTTTTGATGCTTAAATTTTATATTTCATCGTGTCTTCAATCACGAATTATAACTAATTTATCTATATTATGACATGACACATTGCCAATATTGCTCACCACACACCTAGACAAAGATGGTTTAGTATGACATCCAAAAACGTCACTCTTTTCTCCCCCATCATTCCCAAAGGACCCAAAAAAAAAAAAAAAAAAGAAAGAAAGAAAGAAAGAAAAGGCTATGAACTGATTTAATGGAGAAACCTATTTCACCAAAATGTCATCTACCCACCAACAAATTGCAACAATTTGTTTTGAAAGAGTCATTTACACCGAAAATAATTGTCAATAACTCGTTATCGACCTACTTTTAAATTATGTCAATTTTGTATCGTGCTTGTGGGTTTTTTGAAGAATTGTTATGCTTACTCTCAATGATAAGTGTAACTGCTCTTAGCAAAAAACATGAAAAAGACAAACTAAACAAAATGTACTCGTAAATTCTTAGCAAAAAAATATAGTGAAAAATGGCAAAAATGAATGTGCTTGTAAACTTCTTAAATTCTTTTGTTTTTTATTTTTTG